CGAGGCTGCGGTGGCCGGGAGCGGCCACTGCACTCCAGTTTGGGCGACTGAGTAAGACCCCAACTCAAAAAAAAAAAAAATTCCAGTTCAGCTCTTGCCTTCTGACCTTGGATAAGTCACTTAACCTCTTTAGGCTTTAGTCTGCTTCTTCATCAAATGGAACTGATCATGTCTGCCTCCTTCCCTTCTTCCCTGGGATTCCCTGAGGATAAAATGAGATCAGGAACATCTCATAAGTGGTGAGATGATGTGGGCCTTAGCGCCAAGCCTGGTGGACTCTGCCTCCAACACTGTGGTGTGCCTTCCAGGTCAGCAAGGGGGAGCATGGGCAAGGTCATCTCAAGCCCTCACCTGGCCAGAGGAAACTCTAAATGCACAGGGTCTTCTGGGTCCCTCATGGTGGCTTCTTGACATTTTAGCAGATGGAAAGACTAAGGCTTAAGAAGATTGAGTCATGTGCCTATGGCCTCCACATCAGGGAGAGGTGAAGCCTAGTTTCTACCTGGGAGTGGCAGCCCCAATGCCTGTGTTCTGCACCTGTATGCTGAGCTGCCTCTCAAGAACACAGAGGAGTAAAACCAATAGTCTACAAATTTGGGTACTTGATTATTAGTAAAAATTATCTACATCCCACTTGACCACATTATGAAGTCACATTTGAGAATTGGTCACGGGTCTGCAAGGCATTCCTGAAACTCAGTCTCTACATCTCCTGGGCTTCTACTAGCAGTCATATCCTCAGTTTTCCATTTCAGCAACCTCCTCCTATTTGCAGGAGCTCACCTGGCTGTCTTTTTCTCTGGCCCTCCTTTGCAGAGGCGGTGTGGAACTCTTGTTTGATGGCGTAAAGAAACATCAAGTCACCTTGCCTGGACAGGAGGAGCCCTGTGAGTACTGGCTTTCTAAGACCCTCTCAGGGAGCCATCTGGCAGTAGTGGCTCCGTGGGGAACACTCAGCCCTGTTCAGTTGGGAACAGGTGGCACTTCCCTGGCCAATGGGAAGAAGGAAGAGAAAATTACCAGTTTCTCTTCCCCATCTTCTCTGAGATCAATCAACTTTGTTGGAGGAAAGGGGTGTAGCTTATTCCTTATGTGAAGATTCTGTGTTCAGACAGGCTTGGGTTTGAAGCCCTCAGAACCTTAGGCTAGTCTTATCTTATTGCCTAGGCTGGAGTACAGTGGCACGCTTACGGCCACCACAGCCTCGACCTGCTGGGCTCAGGTGTTTCTTCTACTTCAGCTTTCCAAGTAGCTGGAACTACAGGCATGTACCACCACACCCGGCTAATTTTTTGATTTATTGTAGAGACGAGGTCTTGCCTAGTTGCCCAGGTTGGTCTCGAACCCCTAGGCTTAGGCAGTCCTCTTGCCTCCACCTCCCAAGGTGCTGTAATTACAGGGGCGAACCACCATGCTGCCTTCTATTATTATAATAAGACTGTAGAGAGAGGGTCTCATGAAGGAGGTAACCTTCACTGAGCATGAGATGATGCAGATGGACTTATATTACAATTAAAGGATTTAGATGAGAAGAAAAGTATCTAGCCAAAAGATTAGAGGAGGGAGGTTGACTAAGAGAGATAGTAGATTTTTTTTCCTTTGTTTATCCAAATACTTGTCAATCTTTCTTGAACAAATATATAGTGAGACTGGGCACAGTAGCTCACGCCTATAATTCCAGCATTTTGGGAAGCCAAGCTGGGAGGATGGCTTGAGACCAGGAGTTCAAGACCAACATGGGCAATATAGCAAGACCCCTTCTCTGCAAACAACAAAAAAATGAACCAAATGTAGTGGTACACACGTTGTAGTCCTAGCTACTTGGGAGGCTGAGGCAGAAGGATCGCTTGAGCCCAAGAATTTGAAGTTACTGTGAGCTATGATTATACCACTGCACTCCAGCCTGGGCAATAGTCTCTGTTTTTTAAAAGTATATTGCGTACCACCTGTGTGGCAGGCTACATACCAGTCACTGGGGAGACAGACATGAACAAGAGCCAACTTGCCTTCAGAGTGGGAGGTTTTAAAGAGTTAACCTGCAAATCTCTAGCTGAATAACTGTCTGTATGGCAGGGAGCGGTTAAGATCTTTTGCATTTGTACACGTCTGTAGTTCCAGTTACTTGGAAGGCTGAGGTGGAAGGATTGCCTGAAACCATCAGGTCAACGCTGCAGTGGCCCTGAGCATGCCACTGCACTCCAGCCTGGGCAATAGAGTAAGACTCTGACTCAAAAAAAAAAACATCTTTTGCAACCCTGGCCCTGGGTCCTAGCGAGTACAGAGTGCTCAGGGTGAGGATTCCATTCTCCACTCATGGATACTTCTGGGGAGAAGAGGGCACCAATCAAATGAGGAGGCAGGGGAATGAGGTTCCTGGAGGTGGGCAGCAGAAAATGGTCAAGTGAGGTTTGACAGGATTCTTCTGGAACTAGAAACACACCTGCATGTGTCAAACAATTGTCATTGCCCAAATTCACTGGCTGTCACACATCTCTGGCCCTTTCTGTGTCAGGGAATAATGGCAGGTAGGTCTGTCTGCCATACTGAAAAGCTAGGGGTACTTACGAGGCACAGGGCATTGCCTACTTTTGCTGGGTGCATCTGTGACTGGGGTTCAACGTCAGCATTGTGGAATTGTGTGTTCCTGGTGGGGAAGACCCAGAATTGATAAAAGTGACTGTTTATCAGTTTGACAGTTGGCCATGTAGTCTTGGGAGGGAACAGGGGTCTCCCAGGAGCCTCTCAAAGATTCTATCTCAAAGTCCTTTCCCAGAAGCTTATTAAAATATCACAAGTTATGATTTATTTCCTCTGGAGTTTACCTGACATGAAAGCCCACAAATTTTCAAAACTCCAGCCCCAGTTCATGCATTTATTTTATTTATTTATTTATTTATTTATTTATTTATTTATGTAGTTATTTATTTTGAGTTGGAGTCTCTCACTCTGTCATCCAGGCTAGAGTGCTTGACCTGCTGGGCTCAGGTGATCCTTCTGCCTTAGCTTTCCAGGTAGCTGGAACTACAGGCATGCACTACCATACCTGGCTAATTTTTTGATTTATTGTAGAGATGAGGTCTCACCAAGTTGCCCAGGCTCGTCTCGACAAAGTGTGGTCTCCCAAAGTTCTGGGATTATCGACATGAGCCACCACGCCGGGCCTTATTTTTTTTTAGTTTTTATATATTTTTGTGGAAACGAGATCTCACTGTGTTGCCTAGGCTGGGCTCATATTTCTGGGCTCAAGCATTCCTTCTACCTCAGCCTTCCTAAGTGCTGGGATTACAGGTTTGAGCCAGACCTTTATTCTTTTATGTAGTCGGCAATATTTTTGAGTGCCTCCTTTGTGCCATCACTGTACTAGTTCTTGGATATTCAGTGGTGAGCAAAACAGATGTGGTTCTTGCCCTAAGAGGATTAATAGTTTAGGCTAGGCTTGACACAGTGGCTCACGCCTGTAATCACACTTTGTGAGGCTGAGGCGGAAGGATCACTTGAGACCAGGAGTTAGAGACCAGTCTGTGCAACATACTGAGACCCTCTCTCTACAAATTTTGTTGTTGTTGTTGGAGTCTCACTCTGTCGCCCAGGCTGGAGGGCAGTGGCATGCTCATAGCCACCACAACCTCAACCCGCTGGGTTCAGGCAATCCTTCCACCTCAGCTTTCCAAATAGCTGGAACTACAAGTGTGCGCTACCATGCCCTGCTAATTTTTTGATTTATTGTAGAGGCGAGTTCTCACCAAGTTGCCTAGGCTTATCCCAAACCCCTGAGCTTAGGCAGTCCTCTCACCTCGGCCTCCCAAAGTGTTGGGATTACAGGCTTAAGCCACTGTGCCCAGCCTACAAAAAACGTTTTAAATTAGCTAGACATGGTGGCACATGCCTATTGTGCTAGCTATTTAAGAGGTGAAAAATGCCGGGCACAGTGGCTCATGCCTATAATTCCAGCACTTTGGGAGGCAGAGGTGAGAGGATTGCCTGAGCCCACAGGTTCGAAACTAGCCTGGGCAACTTGGCGAGACCTTGACCCTACAATAAATCAGAAAATTGGCCAGGTGTGGTGGCACGTGCCTGTAGTTCCAGCTACTTGGAAGGCTGAGGCAGAAGGATCGCCTGAGCCAAATGGGCCAAGGCTACAGTGGCCATGAGCATGCCAATGTACTCTAGCCTGGGTAACAGAGTGAAACTCCTACTCAAAGAAAAAAAAGAAGTGAAATAGGAGGATCACTGGAGGTTCACTGAAGCCTAGGAGTTCAAGGCTACAGTGAGCTAGATCATGCCACTGCACTCCAACATGGACAAGAGGGAGAGACCCTTATCTCTTAAAAATAAAAGGTGGAAACCAAAACACAAGAGATATTAGCTGTCTCACCCCAAGTCATACAGTTGTTTTTTTTGTTTTTTGGTTTTTTTTTGAGTTGTAGTCTCACTCGGTCGCCCAGACTGGAGTGCGTGGCCGCTCCCGGCCACCACAGCCTCGACCTGCTGGGCTCCGGCGATCCTTCTGCCTCAGCCTTCCGAGTTGCCGGAATTATAGGCATGCGCTACCACGCCCGGCTGATTTTTTTGATTATTGTAGAGATGAGGTCTCGCCAAGTTGCCTAGGCGGGTCTCGAACCCGCGGGCTCAGGCAGTTCACTCACCTCAGCCTCCCAAAGGCGTGGGATTACAGGCTGAGCCACTGAGCCCGGCTTCATACAGTTATTTAAATAGCAGAACTGAGACTGGGCTCAGTGGCTCAGCCTGTAATCCCAGCACATTGTGAAACCAAGGTGAGTGGATTGCCTGAGTCTGCAGGTTCAAGACCAACCTGGGCAACTTGGCAAGACCTCATCTCTACAATAAAAAAATTAAAAACTAGCCAGGCATGGTAGCACACACTTGTAGTTCCAGCTACTTGAAAGGCTGAGGTGGAAAGATCACCAGAGCCCAGCAAGTCAATGCTGGGGTGGCTGTGAGTGTGCCACTGCACTCCAGCCTGGGTGACAGAGTGCAATTCCAACTAAAAAAAAAATTAAAATTAAATATATAAATAAATAAATAGCAGAACTGGAATTCAGAACCAGACTTCAGGGTCTCCAGAGTCCTGGCATTGTGCCACTAATGCGTAGCCATTATCAGGAGACTTCCTGAATCACCTAAGCAGTCTTTCACTCATAATGTAGTTTCTAGTTTTTACACTTTCATTCATTCATGCCTTCAGCAGTTACTTATTTCAACTTTCTTTCTAGGTAGGGTGGGGAGGCAGAGTCTTACTCCATTGCCTATCCTGGCGTGCTGGAGTGCACTGGAACGATCGTAGCTCACTGTGTAGCCTCAATTTCCTGGACTCAAATGATCCTCTGATCTTAGCCCCCCAAGTAGCGGGACTACAGGTGTGCACTACCATGCCCAGCTAATTTTTTTATATTTTATGGAGATGAGACCTCAATATGTTGCCCAGGCTGTTCTCAAGTGATCCTCCCCTTTGGCTTCCCAATGTGCTAGGATTACAGACATGAGCCACCACGCCCGATATATTTCACCTTTCACTTTTTTTTTTGAGTTGGAGTCTCACTCTGTCACCCAGACTGGAGCGCGTGGCATGCTCCCGGCCACCACAGGCTCCACCTGCTGGGCTCCGGCGATCCTTCCGCCTCAGCCTTCCAAGTAGCTGGAACTACTGGCATGCGCTATCACGCCCAGCTAATTTTTTAATTTTATTTTATTGTAGAGATGAGGTCTTGCCAAGTTGCCCAGGCGGGTCTTGAACCCGTGGGCTCAGGCAATCCACTCACCTCAGCCTCCCAAAGCGCTGGGATTACAGGCTAAGCCACTGAACCCGGCTTATTTCACCTTTCATAGTGACCCCAATAGATATTATCATGGCCACCAAACCTGAGAG